CTATAGGGGGTCTTAAAAAATATTTATTTTTTATATTTTATTAATTTGGCCTTTCACATGGCTAGTTCAATATGTAAATTTATAAAAATTTGCATTATTTTTTTTTAATATTAAATATCCTTTTGTGGAGCTTTGACTGTAGTAATAGAAATCATTACAATAACAACTTGTCGAATTCACTATCTAGTCTTCTTATTCCTTATTTCAATGCTGAATCGATTTCCGTGAACTTGAGTTTCTGCAGGCTCTAATTGAATTGAGTCAGTTTATTTTTTTATATACGTAGCTGCTAATTGTAGTGTTGCCAGTTTAGCCTATTTCAGGCTAGATTTAGCCTACTGGTAATACATCCGTTGAAAATGAAGAAGAAGAACTACAGAACATCGGTTAAGTTGTCTATATGTATGGAGCAATATTAATTTAATATTTATATATAAGTAAAACGAAGCTAGTATGCTTGAGGTCACAGAGATTTTTCCCATTGGTCGCTTAAAGCTCGACTGCGACGAATCCTACCTGGCACTGGGCTCAAACGCGACTTAGAGTTTGAGTGAAAGTCCCCATATATAGGGACAGCAGCTGCAACAGTTCCTCAGTCGCCCGTACAGTGTAGTTAGGAGAAGTGAAGCGAGTGCAAATATTAATGATCATTCTGCTAAGCATTAAAGACTTAAGTGAAATAATTGGAAGAATCTCTTTTAAAAAAAATATTTAGGAGAAATTATTAGAGGAAATAATTATAACGAAGTGCTTAAAGGAAATAATCGGAAGAAATATTTAGATAAAATACTTTTGAATTGTTCCTTTGAATTGATGTATAAATATATAATTTATATATGTGCAAATGCGGATTAAAGTGTACTTTGCCACCAATCAAGTTCGCCTTTTGCATTTTGAATATTTGAACTTATATATTCACCTCTTCTCTTTTTCTGTTCATCATTGCCTTAGGAACCAGCCACGTACAACATACACCGAACTGCATAATACTGAGCACTGGGCTTGGACGGCGACGATTTCACCTGGCCACTCAGCAGTGCGCCGCCAATGGGCAGCTACTGCTGGAGCCAGTTGTGGCCATACCCGCCTACATTGACATAACGAATGGAGTGAGAATCAGATCGGAGTCCGGAAACGGCAACAGCAGTAGTGGAACGACAGGAACCGACAAGGGCGGCGACATCAGTGGCCCAAGTGGCGCATCCAAACCACCAGGGAGTGGTGGGTCGAGTCTTGGCGGCAGTGGCGGCTCAACCACAACTGGCGGAAGTGGCGATAAGTTCTTATCCTGTCCGAAATGTGGCAGTGCGTGCACCCAAGTGGAAACGTTTGTCAGCTCCACGCGGTTTGTGAAGTGTGCCAAGTGCAACTACTTCTTTGTGGTGCTCTCCGATGTGGAAACCAAGCAGCGTATCAAGGAGGAGCCAAAGAATCAGCGCAAGCCACCGCCGCCACCGCAGAAGATCATGGAATATCTGGATAAGCATGTGGTTGGTCAGGACTTTGCCAAGAAGGTGCTAGCGGTGGCCGTCTACAATCATTATAAGCGCATCCATCACAATTTGCCACAGCTGCAGCAGCAGCCCAGTGCGGGCGGCTCTGGGGGCGGACTGGACGGCATACCACGCACGGATTTGCTACACATCACCGGCATCGGTCACACACTGAACAGCAGTCCTGGCAACGAGCTGCCGCCAAAACCAGCCCAAATGGGCCTCGGCGGCGGTCTGACTGGTGGCGGTCTAGGTAGCGGCCTGCACAACAGCAACGCTGCCAACGCCTCGCGGAGCAGCGATCATCGTCCCGGCTCCGAGATACTAGACAGACAAAGTAACGATGTTAAATTGGAGAAGAGCAACATCATTATGCTCGGCCCGACGGGATCTGGCAAAACGTTAATTGCACAGACAATCGCCCGCTGTCTGGATGTGCCCTTTGCCATCTGCGATTGCACAACGCTCACCCAGGCCGGCTACGTGGGCGAGGACATTGAGAGTGTCATATCCAAGTTGCTACAGGACGCCAACTACAAGTAAATTGTTCGTTTACCTAGATGATAACTAATCATAGTATATCCCTATCTTTTTCAGTGTGGAGCGTGCTCAAACCGGCATTGTGTTCTTGGATGAGGTGGATAAAATTGGCGCCGTGCCTGGCATACATCAGCTGCGCGACGTGGGCGGTGAAGGTGTTCAGCAAGGTATGTTAAAGATGCTGGAAGGGACTGTGGTCAATGTGCCCGAGCGCAACTCGCCGCGCAAGCTGCGAGGCGAAACTGTGCAAGTGGACACTACGAATATACTGTTTGTTGCCTCTGGTGCCTACACGGGTCTCGATCGTCTTATTGCCCGCCGACTAAATGAAAAGGTGAGCTCGACCAGCAGCTGCATTTTTAATCACATATTAATCCCAACTCTTTTGCACAGTATTTGGGCTTTGGCATGCCGTCGACGAGCGGCTCGGGCCGTCGAGCGGCGCAATCAACAGCCAGTCCTATGGATAACGATCAGGAGGAGCGTGATAAATGCCTGACCAAAGTGCAGGCCCGTGATCTCGTTGAGTTTGGCATGATACCCGTTAGTAGCAACAACTAAAACAGTATGATATATCTATACTAATTAATTACTCTCGATTACTCTACAGGAATTCGTTGGTCGTTTTCCGGTCATTGTGCCCTTCCATAGTTTGAATGTGAATATGCTAGTGCGTATTCTAACCGAACCACGCAATGCTCTCGTTCCTCAATACAAAGCGCTGCTTGGCCTCGACGAGGTGGACTTATCGTTTACGGAAGATGCGGTTGAATCAATTGCAAGTCTAGCCATGGAAAGGCATACTGGTGCACGTGGACTGCGCTCCATAATGGTTAGCTAGCGGATGTAATAATTTCAATCATGATCACAATAATGCCTTTTGTTGTTCATTCGACAGGAGCAACTGCTGTTGGATCCCATGTTCATAGTGCCTGGATCAGATATACGCAGCGTACACATTACGGCGGACTATGTGCGCGGCAATTCAAAGCCCATTTACAGTCGCAGTAGTGATGACGATTCCAGCGCTACCACCGACAGCTCAACAACGGAGACTACAGATTCGGAGCCCAGCAACGATAATGATAAGAACTTTGAAGATAGTGAAAAAGTACGACTTAAACAGTAAAAGCTCCTGATTAATAACACCATTTAAACAGCAGCTAAAGCGTCCAGCCTTACAAAAGCAACAATAACAACAACACGATCTGCAACGCTTATCTATTTGATTTTTCCCCACTTCCAAAATTTTGTGCAACGCTTTTCATTCAAACTCATTTTTAGACTATTCTATTGAGTTACACATTTCTTAAAACATTTTTGCTTTGCAAATATGCTTTTTCAAAGCTAACTCCAAACTCCACTCCCCTCTTTTTATATATACATAATCGTTAATATGTTATATTATTTTTAGTCACGTTTAAATGATACTGTGGTCGGTACGTAGCACCTCCTGCAAAGCGCTGTCACACAATTTTTGAATGGCTGATTCGCAATTTTATATATATCTAAATATATATATTTATGTGTATGTATATATATATACATATGTATAACATATATCGGTCCCCTTCCCACTCGATATGCACCTGTGATTCATAACTGACAAGCAGCGCAAATTTGAAAATGCAGCCTTTCAAAAATAGTTTGCAGCATCAAAAAATGGCAATTGTAAAAAACAATCAAATATCTAAT